ATGGAGTTATTGACCAGGGTTGTCCCATAAACCTCCAATCAGGCTGCTGCATTGCTCTTGGTTATGGTCTAGAACTTGATGGTAAGACTATTAATAAAGACACTGTATACTTCACTTAAAGAACATGAAAAAGTGAGCAAAACTTTCATCCCTACTAGTTAGCTTTCATGGTTCTGGAAGTTTGTGTGCATGCATATTAGTTACATTTCTGTTGCTATGATAAAACACCATGGCCAAGGCTACTTATAGAAGGAAGATGGTTCCAGAAGGTGAAAGGTTCATCATGGCAAGGAGGAAGATAGCACAGGTGGCTGGAATAGAAGGCTGAGGACTCACAATCAAGCAGGCACAGGAAACAGCGAACCTGGAATGGGGACAAGGCTAAAACCCACCCCCAGTGATATGCTTCCTCTAGTATGACCATAACTCCTAAAGGTTCCATGACCTATCCCAAACAATACCAATAATTGGGAGCCAAGTGTTCAAATACTTGGAGCCTATAGTAGACCTTGTTCAAGCTACCACAGCATGCTACAGGAATAGTAATAATCAGTCTTGCCCAGCTATGAACCCTGCAAGCTACAATAACGACTGGCCTGGCAAGAATTGCCCACTAGTGTAATAGTGGCAGGGAAGTTAGGAATAACCAATCATGTTCTGACTAGATTTAAGGTCTGCTTCACAAGATGAAGCCCATACCTGGCACTGTTATCAGAGCCAAGAACCTGTGGCTAGACCGGTCACAGGTGGTAGGGGGGAAAACCTACTACTGTTTTTCTGCTAAACATACATATTAAACTAACTCCTAGCAACTTATTGTTATACTCATTGATTAGTGCATCTCTCAACAGTCATCAGAAGCTTCATTTTATAGCAGATGGCAGTTAACACAGAGACCCACAACTTATTAATATGTAGAAAATAAGAGATTGTGGAGTGCCCAGCCATAAATGGGGCCCCTATATCGCACCCTGTCCTCCAAGGCTTAGGGAACATTGTGTTAAAGTGGGCAGAAAGAGTATAAGAGCCAGAGGTGGATGAATACAAGGAAACAATATTTTCTGGACACAGCAGGGCAGTTGTACATATGAACCCACAGCAGTTACGACAACATGCAAAAGACCTGTACAAGTTCAAGATAGGTTGGGGAGGGAGGTCAGTACGAGGCCTCAGCCCCAGCTGAGGAACTATTGGCAATTGATAGTTGCTGGAAGAGGAAGATTCAGTTTTCTTTTAAGGGTCTTACCCTGGGTAGGTTGACTCTGCTCCAGTGATGGATCCACACCCAAGAGATTTGGGGAACACAAATTGGACTCAAGAGTCATTTTTAAAAAGAAAAAATAGAGAATGTAAAATGAGGGATAGGAAGTTGGGGGCCAATCTGAGAGGAGATGGGGTAGGAAATTTAAATATGCTCAAAATACATTATATAAAGTTCTCAAAGAATCAATAAAAATATTATTTTTTTAAACATCAGAGAGATCTCAAGCAAATATCCTAATCATGCACGTTGGCATCTTAGAAAGACAAAAAAGAAGCCAAACTCACAAGCAGCAGATGACAAAGAATGTCTGGGAACATATTAATGAAATGCAGACTAAATGAGCAATACAGAGACTAAATCAAGCAAGAGTTGAACACATATGACCTATCAAACATACATCAGGAAGATTTAAACAACCTAAACATGTTCATCAGAAGCAATGATATTAGAGCAATAATGAAAATCTTCCCACAAAGAAAAGCTCAGGACCAAGAGATACGCTGCTAAATCCTCCCACACCTTTAAGGAAGAGTTCATACCAGTACTCCTCAAATGGTTCCACAAAGCTGAAAGGGCCCACTCTCAATATTGTCCTATGAAGCCAGCATTGCCCTGATACCAAAAGAAGATAAGCACATAACAAAGAAAACTCTGATCCAATTTCTTAATGAATATATATGCAAAACTTCTGAATAAAATACGAATTCAAATACATTAAGAAGCTCTTATATCACTATCAATTTGGGTTCATCTCAAGGATGTAATGTTGATTCTGCAAGTGCAAACCAACAGATGTGACACCATTAAATAAGCTTAGACAGAAATCACATTGTCATCTAGATAAATACAGAAAAAGCATTTGATAACTTCAATGTGCTTTAATGATAAAAGACCCACAATCAACTAATGGAACTCATAGAATTAAAACACTTCTGTACTGCCAAACTGTTAATTAACTGAAGAAGCAATCTATAGAATGGGAAAAAATATTGGCCAGCTATACAATCTGACAGAGGATTGGTGTCTGGAATATATAAGGAACTCAAAAACCTAAATACCAAGAAAATAGTCAAACCAATTTAAAAGGGGTCTATGGAATTGAACAGAATCCTCAGAATAAGAAATACTTATGACTAAGAAATATTTTTTAAAGTGTTCAACATCCTTATCCATCAGAGAAATTAAAAAACCACTCCAAGATTTCATCTTACCCCAGTCAGAATGGCTAAGATTAAGAAAACAAAAGATGACAAATGTTGGCAAGGATGTAGGGAATGGAGAACCTTTACATACTGTTGGTGGGAGTGGAAACTCACTGTGCCAGTACCGCAGAAAGCTGCAGATAGATCTACCAGATGATCCAACTATACCACTCCTGGGCGTATACCCAAAAGACTATTTCCTACTATAAAGATACATGCTCATCCATATGCATAGTTGCTCTATTCACAATAGTGAGGGAATGGAACCAACCTAAGTGTCCATCAACTAATAAATGGATGATTAAAATGTGGTTCCAATATACAATGAATTTCATTCAACTGTAAAGAAAAAACAAAATCTTCAGGTAATGGATGGAGCTGAAAGCGATGATAATGCATGAGGTAACCCAGACCCAGAAAGACAAACATTGCATGTTCTCATATTGTGGATCTTAGCATTGAATGTTTAGATTTGTGTGTTTACTTTAGAACCTGTAGAATCCAGGAAACTAGAAAGGGACCATTGGTGGGGAGAGGGAAGACAGATCTTAGGGGATGTGGTGATTTGAATGAGAATGTTCCCCATAGTCCACAAGTATTTGGATATTCTGTCCCCAGTTGGTAGGAGATCTTAGGAGGTTTGGCCTTGTTGGAGGAAGCACATCACTGGGGGGGCAGGCTTTGAGAATTCTTTTTTTTTTTTTTTTTTTTTTTTTTTAGCTATGCCAGATTTCCAGTTGTTCTCTGCTTCCTGTGCCTGCTTGAAGATGTGATTATTGTACATGATATATATATATATGTACATATATTCTGAATTTATTATTAAATTGAGAGCTGCTGCCTTCCTGTGCTTTGTCACAACCAAGACAACAAAGAGGAGAGGCCCTTGACTGAGACCCCAAGTGTGAAGGACATCAGTGGTGGGAAGGTTTTCTATGTTCCCTACATTGACTTAATAAACATCTGAATGAACAGGTGACCCATGAGTGGCTGAAATTCTAGACCCTCTTGAGCCCAGCAATAAATTGTTCTGATAGGCAAAAAAAAAAAAAGACCCACTGTATATATAGGCATAAAGAAGAACTTCTTGAATAGAATTCTAAAAGCACAGAAAATAGCCCTAAGAATTGACAAATGATGTTACATGAAATTAAAAAGCTTCTTCACAAAGATTCTACCCTTAGAGTGAACAGGTGCTTACCGAATGGGAGAAAATCATTGCCAGTTATACTTAATATCTATACTATATAAAGAATTGCAAATACTAAACACTACAAACAGCCTATCAATGAATAGAATAATGAATGGAACAGTTTGAACAATAGCAGCACAAGTGGCCAATAAATATTTTACAGAATGTTCAATATCTATATAACTCATGAAAATTCAAGTTAAAGCCATTTTAAGATTCCATCACACCATGAGTCCAGGTGTGGTGGCACATGCCTTTAATCCCAGCACTTGGGAGGCAGAGGCAGGTGGATCTCTGTGAGTTCAAGGCCAGCCTGGTCTACATAGTGAGTTCCAGGACAGCTGGGGCTACAGGGAGACCCTGTCTCAAAAAGACCAAAAAAAAAAAAATTTTCATCACACCTGTGTCACAATGGCAAAGAACAGGAAAACAATGATAAATTATACTGATAATGTGGAAGAAAGAGAACATTTATCAACTGCTATTGGGAGTGTAAACTGGGGCAATACTACAGAAATTGATATAGAAGTTACTCAAAAGACAGAACTTCCACATGGCCGGTTCTACCATTGCTGTGCATGTACTCAAAGGACTCTACATCCTGCCGACAGGATACATGCACAGCCATGATTATTGCTGCTCTACTCATAAGAGCAAGGAAATTACATATAAAAATGCCTAATATCTTTGTTAGTTAAAACAACATAAAAACAAAGAGTAAAACACTAAACGCTGAAAATGTCATTGAAGGTTTATTTCATAGCAACACATGAATTTCTAGTAGTAAGCATTGGTTTTATTTGCCCTTAAGATTCTATAGCTGAAGATAAATTGATATGAAAGTTTCCTAAATTTTATTTCAAACTGACACAGCTAAGTAAGCAATCAAAGTTCATGTCTGAATTTATGCAGAGTATCATCAAATTGTTAGCAAAGTATGTTCTGCAGACAGAAGACATCCTAAAAGTAATAATCCCTATGAAACACCTTAACTTCCTCATAGTTCAGTTTTTCAAAAACAATGAAACTGATGGACCTCAAGCAGACAACTTCCGGAAACCAGGAAGATTGTGGGGCTGAGAGGGAAGGAACAGAACATGAGGAACCCTGCCTCGGAATGCTTCAGCAGGTGGAGTTGGGAGGAGGGATCAGGACAGTCCAGAAGGCAGGAGGATGTGCTGGGTTAGAGGCTGGGGAAGGGCTGTGGTGCCCCTACCTCCTGTCAGGAGCTCTTTGTGATGAGGGGGCCACAGCTCTGTGATGTGGGCCTGGGCCCTCCTGACAAGGCACAGGCTGCCCTCCCAGGGCTCAGTTGTCTGAGAGCAGCAGTGCAATTCAGACGATGGGGAATGCTCATCTGCTGAAAAGCATTAGTGACTCATGGATGAGTCCCAGCGCTATTACCCTGGCAATGGACATGGTCTTTTCTATTACATGTGGAATAGGGCTCTTCGTCCTGTTAATCCCATTCCTGAAGACTTACCCATTGTCACCACCACCTGAGAGAGAGACTACCCAAAAGGTAAGGAAAGCCTTGGTTGAAACCCAGTAGAGGGGTGCTTTCCCTTTCACTTTCAATTTTCCTAATCAAGTAGAGAGATGGGGAGAGGCAATCTCAAGACAGAACAGAACCTCATTGTCCTGGGAATCTGTGTAGTGGGTGGAGATAACACTGAGAAAGACCATGGTTCAGTGCACAAATTTCTGAGGACACTGGGTCCTATGGGAAGGGCAGGCTCCGCAACATGCTTCATGTATGCCTTCCTCATGCACATGCTTTTCTGTTGAGATGAAGTGAGGGGACTGATGAGGCCAAGAGCATCAGATCAGGGACTGAATTGCCCCTGACTGACCTCAGGAAGCAGATCTTACCTCACAGCCCAAAAGCAGCTGCAGACTCAAGTCTGAGCCTTTGGCTCCTATTTGAGGAACATGGACTTGGTATGTGTGAGAGAGACAATCTCTTATGTTTTCCCACAAGAAAAAAAGAAACATTGTTATGTATATTACAAATGAGTACAGGCAAAGGAAATGGAATAAGGTCTCTGGCAAATGCGGAAATTCATATTACCATGAACACGGAATCCAAGCAGCTTGTCTATGGGAGGGGAGGCAGGATGGAGCCCCATCTCATTTGTGTTGTTTCTCACTGTCAGGTGACAAGGAGGGGGCAGAGAAAGACCAGAAAGAAAGTTAAGACTGCCAAAGGTAGGCTTTTTCATTCCTCTCAGAAATGGACTTCATCTCCCCTGTCCCTGAGTGATGGTGTTGTGCCTCTGAGAATGTAAGATGCAGAACACCAGGAAGGAGGGTGCTGGAAGGAAACCAGAATTGGGGAAACTTCCCAGGTTTTCCTGCTGGAATGAGACTGATTTATCAGGGCTGGTTGTTGTGCAGTGGGCTGGAAGGTAGTGGAGCCATGCTGTCTGACCACATATGGGAGATTACAGGTCCACCTGAGAACAGGTGGTTTCAGGTCAGTCAGACCCATTCCCCTTTCAGATTACCGAATCTGTGTCCCTCACAAGGCGCTACATGGAATCACAGAGGTTGGTGGAGGAGCTAGGACTTCGTACAGATGAGGCCCCTCCTTGCTACTTGCTCATTTTCAGTGAACCATGTCCTTGGACATTGGTACTTAGGCATTGGAATCATAGCCCAGGTTGTCTCCTTTAAGGGAAATGTCACTGACTCTCCTGTGAGAGCTCAGTCCTCTCCAGGATCCTTCATAACCTGGGCTCCATTTTCAGGTTGCAGACGTGGGAGAAAGAATGTGGAGGAGATACAGAGCACATCACAACCTTTGCCAATGTAAGGAATCCCTTTCTTTTGAAATTATTCATACCAGGACCCAGAATGTGACCTTGGTCTAGGGCTCTCTGTAGGGGGACATACCATGTGGGATGGGATTGGAATATAGCCCTGCTGCATGGGACAGAAGCAGTGGAGGGGCTGTGAGCTACAGATGACACCCAGACTTTCTGGCCTCTTTCTCCTCTGTGTGGGGCTAATGTTTCTGCCTCTTGTCTTCTGCAGCCACAAGGACAGCTCTTTACCCAACATGATGCCACACCCCTTTTGGAACGCCAATGAAAAACTAAAGCAACTTCCCCTCTCTCAGCTGCTTTCTTACCTCAAAGTTTTGGAGGGTCTTATGTGGCAGAGATGCAACAGGATTCCCTCAGACATGTCCTCTGTGCTGTCTGAGTCAGTGGTGGCCACTGCCTGGGTCTCTAAGAGCCCTTCCTCTGTAACAACTAGAACTGTCTCATTATCCAAAGCATCTGGATCTTTCTCCATTAAACAACAGGCCTGTAGATGTCCTCCACAGCTTTTCCAGGGCCAGCCCTTGTCACACCAACTTAAGACACTAAACTTGGCAGGTGGGACAGAGATCCAGAAACAGGTTCAGCATCCATGCTCTACAACAAACCAAATACCTTCTTCATTCAAGAGTAGCAACTATGAAATAACATGTCCTACCCCTGAGATGAATGCATCAGTATCCTTTCCAACAGAAAACCAGACTCGGCAGACGTGTATCAAATGGAAGGATGCTTTAGGCTCTAACAATCAAAAATATCAAGTCAACATTGACCAACCCACTCGCAACATTCCCAGAGGCAGCCAGGCCACAGAAACGATCAGGTCATCATCTGTCTTTCCTGAGCATTGTAAGACCCTCCCACACTGTGAGGAGGACCGAGAGAATCAAGAGAAGATGACTGCAAATGCAGAACAACCAGGCCTCCCCTTCAGATTCCTTCCATCCCAAGAACCAATGCATTCTCAGGGACATTTCCCAGGAAATAATCTGTGCCAGTCCAAGAACAGGCCTGAATTCTTCCAGCCTGCCCAGCCCCACGTATTTGATTCCAAAGAGTGCAAATTTAGCAAGATGGTAGGGTCCATGCACTCCGGAAACCCCTTAATGAAGGGTCCAGTAAACGTTAGCATGCACGACCCCATCGTGGAAGACCCAGGTGTTGGTACCAAAGATCTGCCTTGCACTTCAAGAAACACCTCTGGGAAGGGGCTGAACCTTATAAATTCCTCATTGTGGATAGATCAGTCATCATATATAAACACCTCCCAGGACCCTTTCTTCCCTGACCCAAAAACTCACGTCAGGCTAGAATCAGACACTATGCAGTTTCCTATGAAGCACAAATGGGGACCACACTTACAGACCCTTGAATCAAGGGATTCCACCGTAAGGGAGGTTCCAGACTCATTTCTTCCTCAACCTACATATCTTTCCTCAACCACCAGTATTTCTAAGGCTGACTACCAGACAGCTACAATCCTGGAAAAGTTACATCAGCGAGATCCAGGAGGGAAGGGGACAGAACCAGCATCAGTTCCCAGGCTGCAGAATCATCTGTCTGTGCACTTACCATCAGAATTTCAGGAGACCCAAAGAGCAATTCCATCTACTGGTAGCCGTGGACCCTTAAGGGCCCATGTAGCTACATGGCAGAGCCACCGGAGCACTCAAGCCCGTGCTTACTGCCTTCTGGCAAGAACACAGAAGAGCAGGACTATCCTGGGGACTGGAAGAGGCAGCTTGCAACCAAGTATCAGCTCAAGAATGGCTAGGCATGAACCATGGGGTAGGCCTGAGATTGTGGCTTCAGGAGACCCCTGCTGGAGTGGAACAATGCTGGAGCTCCAAGAACAGGTCCCACCTTCAGTGGCCAAACAGATCAACCAACCTGTGGAGGAGAAACAAAACACACCTTTTGCATGGAAACTGACTCCAGAATCCAGACAGAGTCCAGGTGAACAAACCATCAATAGTCATGTCAGTAACTTAGTAGCTGAAGGGGCCAGTAGAAGTCCAGGTCCTTCCAACACATCTAGTCCACAGGACTCAGAAGACCCAGCTGGAATGGCACATGTGTTTAGGGAGGCTGCATTTGAACCAAACAAGCAACCAAAGGCCTGGCCTGCTGGCCTCCGTGGAGACTGCCCCCAAACCGTGTACCCTGCCACCATGTGCCTATCTTCACAGAGTTCATTGACAAGCAACCAGGACAGAGAAGAAAAACTGTCATTCCAGGGACTTGGTGCTCACAAGCAGGAGTCTCTAGAGCCTACAGTCGCCAAACAGAAGATTCCAGGAAGGAAGCACAAGATATTTGTTCCTAATGAAGAAAAGGAGGCCTTTATGAGCTCCGAAGCAGGAAGCCAAGGAGAAAGCTTTGGAAGAGTGAGGCCTTCCCAAACCTGGGCCCTCAATACCTCTGCCCAGCTCAGGGATACAGTCACTACTGAGACCAAGTCCTCCCTTAGCAAGCTGTGGAAGGGGACGGCTCTTACAAAAATTTTTCTCAAGGAAATCGTGAGGAGTGTTCTACGATGTCTGAATCTCAGCAAAAGAGACCAGGGAAAAGAGGATTCTTTAAAGGATGGGCGGCATTCATCCAGGCCCCCACCAGCTACTGTGCAGACCCAGATGTCTGTCACAACACAAAATCTTGCCAATATGTTAACTGAAGCGCATTCACTCCTTAATATTGTCATGCAGATCCTGGTGGACAGGCTGGGCCTTCAGGTTGGGGACCCAACAGTAAAATGGCAGAAAGTAGAACCATACACATCCCAGGTGGGTAGCTCCCCGCTTGCTCATGATGGTCACTGTGACCCAGAGGGAAACAGACTAAGAAGAAGAATGAGCTGTGGTCCCCACAGCAGCCCCAAGGGATACAACCATCCTTTCATGTACAGGGGAATTAGAGAAAAACGGCAGTCAGGAGCTGCTGCTCAGAGAGTCTGTGATCGACATCAGTGCAGAATGAAGCGAGAAATGGTCTGCGGCCACCTCCCCCGTCCCAAGGCAAACAACCATGCATTCATGTACAGGAAACTGGGAGAAAAGCAGCAGTCAGGCACTCGTGACCAGAGGGCCTGTGACCCACATCAAATTAGAATGAAGAGTGAGATGGAATGTGGTCCCCAAAGAAACCCCAAGAGAAGCAACCATCCATTCATGTACAGAAGAATTGGAGACAAACACCAGTGGCAGTCAGACATTGCTGCTGAGAAAGCCTGTGACCCAAATCAAAGCATGAAGAAAGGAATGGACTATGACAGCCTCGCCAGCCCCCAGGAAAACAATCATTCATGTTTAAAGAAACCAGAGACAAAGGGCAATCAGGGATAACTGCCCCAAGAACCTGTGTCCCCAGATGGACCATACCAACATAGGCCAAGGAAGAATCATCTCAGGCCATGTTGGCCTTTGCTTGCCAGGAAATCTTTAGAAATCTATCCTTTCCACTCAAGCCATTATTTCCCCCATGCTTTCCTGGAAATAAACATTTGCTTTTGGCAAAAAGTCAGTCCCTGCAAAGAAAATATGTTTCCTGTGCGAGCACATACTCTGTATGCTACTGGCTCCTTCCCAGATAGGAACTGATTTGTAATAAACATTTGTCTCTTTCAAGAAAGTAGTACAGTGCTGGGGAAGGGGAAGGGCAGCATTTCATCTCCCTCAGTGCAGCTTCTGGAAAGGATAGCTCACAGGGAGGGGACAGTTACACTGAGGTGCCACCCTCACCCAGTTCCATCATTGTGCAGTTAGTGTTGATCATTCCTTCATTAGAGATACAGCAGAAAGTCTTTAGGTTTTTTCCAGAATGCACCAGTCCAATGAAGACCCCCACCCAAGGGTCTGGATCAACATTTTTTTTTCATAGTTTGTTCTACCTTGACCTTTGTGTTACTATGAGCATAGGCATGCAGAGGTACCAGAGGGCCAAGTACTTTCACATGTCATAAAGTAGGTACAGGAATTTGGGGGGAGTGTGGCAACCCCAGTTCTCAGATGGGAGAATCTTGTCACACAAATTTCCAGGTAAGGAACAGAGACCGTCTAGCCCAGTAGCTTCTACTTACCCTGATGCTCAGGCTCTTCCTTGAGCCCAGCAGCACGTCTTACCACAGCCCGGATGACAAAGCAGTGTCACCTTCCCCGGTCTTTGCCTTCCTCTCTGACTAGAGCAGAATGGAACTTGCAGCTCTGGGAGTATATGACCACAGGATGGCTGCTAAGGGGCGTTCCACACTGGCACGTTCAGTAACAGAAGACATACCTGCAGAGAGTGTACGAACACCTCAATGAATTGACAGGCACCTCCCTTGCAATCTCATAGCCATGCTGCCTACGACATCATCTGGGCCAGGCCCAGATCCCTGAGACCCCTCTGTCATCAGAGCCCCCAAGTGGGGTTTTCTACTTGGGCTAAAAGCTCCAGAAGGTTCTTCCTAGGGAATGTACTTACTTCTCCATCTAATACAGAATTTTTAAAATGCTGTTCACATCTGATGAAAGAATATATGTCTTATTTTCTTTGATGTTGATGTTTAGTCAAAGGCATGAACCGCCCATTTTCTCCACTGCATACAGTATCTTTTTATGCTAATCCTAGTTAGCGCTGTGCTGACATCTGGATCTGCAGCTCATGTTGCACCTATGTTACTTTGGTATAGAGAATTTCTAAGTAGGTTTGTAGATTAATCCCTGGTGGGATGTTTTATATAAATAATTTCAAAATCCACATTCATCCTTAAAAAATGACAGTTAATACTGAGGCCCAGGATTTAAAGCCAGCTATAACTGAGGGCTATGAGCAGCTACTCCTGCTTATTCCTATTCTACGAGCTTTAAGAAGGAAAAGGACCACGCACCGCCCAGCACAGTTCAACCTTCAGTCTTTCCTTCTATCAGCAGTCAGGTCTGCCCTCCTCACTGACAGGTCCTGTCCTAAGCAATGCATTTTTCCATCCCTCTTTTAACCAGCTCTTCTGTTTACCCTATTTAATGTTCGTTTCCTGCATATATTTATTTTTACACCAAGGTAAAGCAAATGTATGGAAAGTTTACACAAGCCATATATGTGGTGCCAGTCCATTACCTTAATGCAAACGCACAAGCACAAGGTGAAAATACAGAGCACTGCCAGCACCTCAAAGCCCTTGCGCTCCTCTATCATCACAGCCACACTCTCCACAAAGGAGCCTTGGCTTAAGGACTTCCTCCTTGCATCAATTAGAATCGTCACACTAAGCATGCATCCCTCAACTCAGCAATGTTGTTTGGTTCATAGAATGTCTTCTTTCTAAATGGCATCTTTCACTCAGCATGATGTCAAGAGATGCATCTGTGTTCTGCATACCCATGCTTTTTGTTTTGGTTTGGTTTTCTTGTTTTTTGTTTTTTGAGACGGGTCTCCTGGAACTAGCTATGCAGACCAGACTGGCCTTGATCTCACAGAGATCTGCCTGCCTCTGCCTCTGGAGTGTTGGGATTAAAGGCATGTGCCACCACACCTCACTTGTACTACACTATTTTAATGTACTTGACTTTGTTCCATGGTTTGATGCATGTTTGCATTCCCCTCTGTTTAATTGTTATGATGCTCTTGAACCTGAATCCTATCATGTCTGTTAGCATTCTTACAGTGTACACAGTCCTTCAGAATTATTTTGCCCTTTTCCACCTTAGCATTTCCGTATCACTTTCTAACTCCACTAAAAAGATCTTTAATTTTATTGTTATCATTTTGAATCTTGAAAATGTTATATTGAATTCTTAATTGTGACATGTAGCCATTAATATGAATCAGTACCTTTATACAATTGATTCTTTCAAACTATGACGGTTTTATCAGTGTTTTAAATGTAGAACAATGAGGGACAGAGCTCTAGAATCCAAAGCCTCCCACTGGTATATGGCTTTATTTTGTGGTCTCTGATTTGCAGTCTCTTTTCCATGTCCCTTTGAATTTCATCCACTGAAGTAACTGTCTGGTTATCTGATCGGGATAAGAATATTAATATGTGCAATGGCTGTCAGTGTTTTCTGTTTTGTTACATGGCAGTTAAGCTTTAGGCCACTCTCTCTCCTGTTCACTGATTAATAGGGTTGTATATCTTGGGTATGCTTTCTATTGGTTGTTTATCTTTGCTTTATAATGTATCCCTTCATAATTTCCCTTTGTTATGTTTTAAAATTATATCTCTTAGATAACTAACATTTCTGTTTGCCTAGAGAAACATTTGATCACTGTATATTGAATTGATAGCTGACTACTTTGCTCACCTTTCAAAGCTCTTCTCTTTAACTTCTTTCCTTATAAAGTCTTCTGTTGTGAACTGCATGTTTTGTCTTCTCCACATTCATATGAAATCCTGAATCTCAAGTGTGACATGGCCTTTGGGACATAATTGGGCATGAGCATAGAACCTCCAAATTGGATCGGTGTGCTTGTAAGTAGAAACGGGAGAACCTGTGAATGTATGCTCTATAAGCTGGGTGTAAGTATCTCCTCTTCTCTCCTCTCCTCTCCTCTCCTCTCCTCTCCTCTCCTCTCCTCTTATACTACTTCTCCTTTCCTCTCCTCTCTCCTCTCTCTCTCGCTCCCTCTCTCTTCTCTCTCTCTCTCTCTTTCTCTCTCTCTCTCTCTGTAACTTTATCTTTCCTGCCCTCTTCCATGTGAAGATACAAATACAAGAGGCCCACCTACAAGCCAGGAAAGGAGTCCTTAGCACAACCCAGCCATGTTGCCACTTTGATTTTGGATTCTTAGACCCCAACACTAAGAAATAAGTATTTTTGAGCTCCAAGCTCCCAACATTGTTGATTTAATATAGTAGCACGGAATGAAAAGACTTCATCCATATGCATCCATATGACATTGATTTAAAAGCCACAATAGGCATCTTGTTTGTTTCTGAACATCAAAATGGAAAGATTTCAGCACTTTACCAATAACTACAGTATTTGATCTAGCTTTTGGTGTTGTTAATCTATTTTATCAAATTGAAGAAATTCTCTAATTCTAGATTCTGATCATATTTTTCATTTTTGTTTTTTTCTATCAGAAAGGATATTAAATTATGTCCGTTTTCCTATTTTTATAAAAATGATATGAATTTTATATTCTTAGTGTCAAAATTTGTCAGTGACATAATGCCAAACTGACCATGCTGCTTTGTAATTTTTATACTGGATTCTGTTTCCAATGGTTTTGGGGATTATGTCAGGTTCAAAATTGTAACCTTCGCTTTAAACAGTGCCTTTAACTAATTCTCATATTAGGCTACATCAGGCTCATAAAATGACTTACAGAGTATCTTGGTATCCAGGCTGCCATTAACGAAATGGCACACATTTTGTTACACAAAGATTTTGTTACAAACAAAATGATACACATGGCTGGCTCACAAACACAAATTTAATTTTCTTGCAGTTCTGAAGACTGGAAGTCCATGGTGAAAGCAACACCATGTTTCAGTTCTTGTAATATCTTTGAATCTAGAGAATGACCCTCCTGGGCTTGAGGCCTCACCTTCCAAGACCACTGTGGAGGCAGCACCCCTCCCGCAGCCACCCAGGCATCACTCCAAGTTTCTCTAATAGAGCCCTACCCACATGGCTCAGCAGATATCTCATACTCTGAAACCAAGCAGAAAACATCTCTAACCATTGGCACTGTGCAAAGATGAGGACCCACCACAGATTATCTCTGAATCACCTTTAGGTGCTATTTTCACTGTCCTTCAAGAACAACCAAAGGACTCTGTGTTCCAGTCCAGTGAATACAGAAAGTCCTGGAGCTGTTTTGCATCCCATGCTGTGTGTTCACTATTCTGCTGAGAAATCTCTTCTGCTACATATCCGGTTCCACTGCTCCCAGTTTGTCCTTCCATTAAATGCAAGCACCAATGTTAGCTAAGGTCTGTCAGCTTATGCCAAAAATCACCCTTCCTTCATTTTCCCATCACTAGTCCCTCCTTCCTGTCTGAGCCCTCAACAGAATGGCAATTAACACCCACATTTCCACAGCATCTGTTGATGGCTGCCTCCTCTAAAGGAGATTGTTTCTCCCCTGTTTTAATATGAGCCATGCCTACTACCGTCTTTAATAGCCATATTTCTACCAAAAAAAAAACCACCCCAAACAGTCTTGGCTTATGCTAGCATGCACCTCCAAATCCCTCCCTCTTATCTCCCCATCACTCAGTTACAAAGACAATTAGGTATTTTAGTTACTTCTTGTAACAGCCTCCATTTTTTGTACCAAAATCTACATTAGTCTCATTTCAGTAGAAAAACAGACCAAACAGAAAGATAGATGTGTGTGTGTCTGTCTGTGTGTGTGTGTGTGTGTTCTAAAGACCCTCATGTCAAGTAACTGGCATAAATAATTATGGAGGCTGAGAGGACTTAGGGGTGCTATGGTTCCATTCCAGCATCCACCAACTAAATTTCTTTTATTTGCTATTTAGTATCAAACTATCTAT